TGTGGATGTCACCACAAAGCTCACTGGGGCTAAGTACTTTAGTGTCCTAGATGCCAGGTCAGGCTACTGGGCCATGAAGCTGAGCCATGAGTCTTCAAAGCTAACAACATTTAACACAGTGTTTGGCAGGTACCATTTCCTCAGATTGCCATTAGGCATAATCTCAGCCCAGGATGAGTTCCAGCGACATGTGGACGAAACTTATGAAGGCCTCAGCGGCGTGGCAGGCATCGTCGATGACGTACTGGTCTTCGGGAAAACCAAGCAGGAGTATGACCAACACCTGAGAGCCATGCTACAACGCAGCAGAGAAAGAGGCGTGAGGCTAAACCCTGAAAAATGCTGCGTCTGTGTAACAGAGGTCAGTTTTTTTGGTCACATACTGTCACACAAAGGGTTAAAACCAGACCCAAACAAAGTGAAGGCAGTCCAAGAGGTGCAGCCACCACAGAACAAGGCCGAGCTGGAAACCGTGTTAGGAATGATCGATTATATAGTGAGGTTTGCTCCCCACCTGTCACAGAGCAATGCACCACTGCTACAACTGCCAGAACAGGACAGTGAGTTTGTGCAGGACACTAACCATGACGGACCCTACCAACAGATAAAACAGCTGGTAACCCGGCAGCCAGGCCCGGTTCTCTCCTACTTTGACCCCCAGAAAGAGTTGCGGCTCCAAGCAGATGCTTCGAAAAGGGGCCTCTGTGCAGTTATGCTGCAAGTCACTCACCAGCACCGAGCACAACTATGCTCAGACAGAGAAAGAGCCATATGCTGTACTCTTTGGCTGCAAACGTTTCCATGACTATATGTACGGCCGACAAGTGATTGTAGAATCAGACTACAAACCTTTACAACCAATACTCAGAAAACCACTGGCTGCAGCACCACCACGGTTGCAGAGGTACAACATCAGCATCATCCACCGACCTGGGAAAGACATTCCAGTGGCTGACACACTGTCACGCATGTCTATAGAGCACCACGACAAAGCTCTATGTGAAGGGATGGAGGCCCAGGTGCATACAGTCATCAGCAACGTGCCTGTTCGTGATCAGAGACTGACAGAAATCAGGGACACAACGAGGCAGGATCTACAATTCACAGCCCTGAAACAAGCCACACTAGATGGTTGGCCCAACACAAGGTCCAAATGCCCGTCTGTCATCCAGGAGTTCTGGAACCATAGAGATGACATCTCAGATCTCAGCGGTATCATGTTTAAAGAGGAGAAAATCATTGTTCCCCTTAAATGCAGCGCAAACCCCAAAGAGCCCCTGCTGTCACACGGCATACCAGAAAGACCGTGACAGGTGATCGGCACCGACCGATTCACCTGGAACTCCAGAGACTACATTGTCATTGTAGATTACTACAGCAGATTGTTTGAGCTGGAAAGACTGTATAGCTGTCCTGCAGGAGCTGTAATCATCAAACTCAAGTCCACCACGGCCAGGCATGGCATCGCTGAGACGGTGATCAGTGACAACGGTCCATGCTGCAGTTTGAGTGAGTTTCAGCGTTTTGCACAGACATGGGGTTTCACCCACACCACTGCTAGCCCCACTACCCGCAGAGCAACGGCCTCGCAGAGAGGACTGTCCAGACCGCCCAGAGCATACTGGACAAAGCCAAAGCTGAACACAAAGACCCCCACCTGAGTCTACCAGAATACCAAAACACTCCAATAGACAACCTGAAACCCCCCAAACAGCTGCTCATGAGCCGAACACTTCGATCCATCCTCCCTGCAACAGCCAAACACCTGCAGCCACAAATGGCTTGCCAGCAGTCAGTGTGTGACAGAAGCCTGCCAGCAATGTCAGCAGATCTATTTCAACAGGACAGCCAGACCTCTACCACAGCTTCTCCCAGGTACGCCGATCTGTTTCCGCCAGCAGGACGGTTCCTGGAAACCAGCGACAGTGACGCGCTCTGCAGACACCATCAGGCGTTACCACGTCACCACCAGCACAGGTCAGACTTCCCCACGCAACCGCTGACACCTCAGAGAGAGCAGAGGAAGAGATCATCCAATCACCGGAGCCCACCTTCAGCAATACACAGCCTCCACCTGTGAAGCCTCCGTACCTGAACAGTACACCATGTGGCTACACCACTCGATCAGGCCGTGTTGTCGGGCCAAGACAAGTCCTTGACCTGTAAAGGGTGTAGGCGGATCGCTGCCCCAGTTAAAAATAAATAAAATGTAGTTGTTCATCCACTGTGATTTACGTTTGCACGACTGATGTCAGGTGTAGTATTATGTTTATCTGCACATGCTATTTCTTTTTGTGCCTGTCATTCCAGCCAGTTGCACATGTTTAGTCTTCTATTGCACTTATCCAGACGACACGCTCCATAAAGTTCAGATGTTCCTGAGCTACTTAAATCCTCTGGGTGCACCATGTTTGGTCAGCTGCTGTTGTTTGTGTTTCAGGGACACTTCCAGTCAGGTTCAGGTTTCTCTTTTTTGTGGAACCACTGTCTTTTCTTTTAGGAAGGGAGACGTAACATCCTGTGTCATATACTCACATCGTCCACTACACGGTCGCTGACAACACTGTTGCTTTGGTTGTAAAATCCAGCAAGAATGGGAGACGTTAGGTGCATGACGGTAGATAGAGAATAAAAAAACTACAAGTACTGTCCCAATTCTAAGGAGGCATCTGACCGAGTCCGGATGAAATGCCCGGATGTGTTCTGGCCCCGCCCACATTATGGAGTCCGCATCAGACCGGACTGTGTGGACTTCAGACAGCCAAGTGTCCCAGAATGCATTTCGCGCCACCCAGTGATAAAAGCCGAGGAGAAAACTTTCAACAGCAACAGACTTTCTGTAAATACTGTTGTTATTGTGACACAAACTGTAGTTTTATGATTATTTTAGGTGAGAAAGTTTTGGTATAAACACCAAATATGTGGTCATTTTAACAAGATAAAGCCTGTTGAACATTTAGCTCCGACGGTTTCAGAGATGTGAGCGTCCCAGTTTGACCGCTGTGACGGCGGCCAGCGCTCCCAGTAGCCGCCGAGAGCCGCCTGATGTCGGCCAGACTCTCTGAAGTCTGCCGCTGACGGCTCTGTAGCGCTGAAACAGGGATATACGTAGTTTAGAGTCACACTTTGTCCTCACAGTGGAGTTTGTTTATTG